TTGAACAGCCGAACTGCAGAATTGCAGTCAGCTGAAGTAGCCTGCGGTGCTGCATTTAACCACTGCACCACCTCGGCTCTAGAAATAGCTTTGAGGATAACAAAAATGAAGGGAGAGACTGGAGTAATATTAAGAGCTGCTTCTTCAAATTAGTTAGATCATTTAGCATCCCTTCATTCAGTGACATTAACCTTTTGGGAACAGTGGCATTTTAGAATTTCATACTCCTACAAGAACAGGAACAGTGTGATTTTCATTTTAATCTAAGAGTTAAAATTTACCAATGAAGTTCATTTCCTAACAATGTTTTTGACAGAAACGATACTATTTGGGAGGGGCAGGTCAGTCAGAAGAATTTCATCTGGAGGGCTGCTATTCCATTTTGACAGATCTCCGGTGAGAAAAACTGCATAGTGCGCTATGAAGCCAAAAATCTCTGGAGCCTGAATGAGCACAGTGCCACATTAATCTAAAGTGAAAATCCTCTTCACAGGGTCTCTGCTGCCAGCCTGCTGAGTTGTTAGTCTTATCAACGTGCCCCATACAAGTGTGCGTGCTTCAGGGACACTCCTCTGGAAGACTAAGGCACGTATTATTTTCCACACCTCCTCAGAGCTGGCAAGGCCCCTCTCATTAATCACACCCTGGACGCAAATCATATTTACTTGCAACTTAGGGTATTTCATTTCTTGCCTATATATAAATAGAAGTAGTGCAGGCCATTACGGCAATAATCTCTTTATGTGCAGAAGGGCCTGCATAATGTCAAAGGTATTATGGTAATGGAGATGGCTTTCTATTAGACAAGACTGACTGAATCGAAGGGGGGGAAATGTCATGTTAAATTCTGATAAAAACGAGAGGCTACCTAAAATGCTCAAGTTATGGATCTGAGATGAAATCCAATGTGGCATTTCTGCTGAAGAAACTGTTTCAGAGAATCACAAGAGGCTGGGAATCTTTCCACAGCCTGCAAAAAGCTGCTATTGGATTGCTTAGCATGGGATTTTACCCTATAAAACCTGACTGCATTCATATAAATGGTACTATTGTGGTGAAACGTTTAGTTCCATACAGAACTTCCATTGTTGGTTTTCTGCTGACAAATATCCATGGTTTTTCTCTACATTACAGATATAGACTGTGTTGGCCTATGTCTACATACTATGTTAATCATAATTTGCTTAATCATGGTTTGTTCCATAAGCTGCAACTGATTGGAAATACACATTATACTTTGTCATTAGCTGCATCTACCAATCACAATATCTGGATATCAACATCACGAGCCAAGGTAGCCCAGTGGTTAGAGTGCAGTACCGCAGGCTACTTCTGCTGACTGCTAGCTGCAGTTCACAATTCAAATCACACTCTGCTCAAGGTTGACTCAGCCTTCCATCCTTCCGAGGTCAGTAAAATGAGGACCAGATTGTTTGGGGTAATATGCTAACACTGCAAACTGCTTAGAGAGGGCTGTAAAGCACTGAGAAGTGGTATATAAGTCTAAGTGCTATTGCTATCAACCAAAATCTATTATAATTTAGTGTGAAGTCACCCAATGCTACCTGCCCTGTCTTTCTTATCTTTATATAAGGAACTTGGGAAACTCCCCACTCCAGTCACAGGGCACTTTTACACAACCAATTTTCACATCCCTTGTAGCTTCTATTGAACTTTTATGTCACTACAAGTGCCCTCATAGCTGTCTCTTGTGATTTCAATGAACAAGGAAGAGTGAAGAGGAAGGGCCATTTAGCTGATCAACAGGAGAATCCTGACTCCATTTTCCTTATTTCCACACTGTATCCCGTGACTGTGAATGAGCAGAAACTAAGGCGGGCAACCAAGGTGCACAGTGTTCTGATTCTAGAACAGGGGCGTCAAACTCAAGGCTGCGGGCTGGATTAGAACCATGGGGTGCTTAGATCTGGCCCGTGGGGCAGCCCTGGCCCACAGTGAAGGACTGGCCCACAGTGCCTCTGCCAATGAAAATGGAGCTCCGGGGGGGGGGGGGCACATGCAGCTCAAGCTTTGTTTTCGGTTGTGATGGCCTCCTGCAACCCTCTGCCAGCAAAAACAGATATCTTGAACTCCATTTTCCCTGGCAGAGGGGTGCAGGAGGCCGTCGCGACATGAGTGTCATTGAATTGCCCACGCCCAACCTGGCCATGCCAACCCGGCTTCCTTAGGTCACACACAACCCTCAATGAAAACACACAACCCTCAATGAAGTCGAGTTTGACACCCCTGTTCTAGAGGAAGAAAATCCAGAAGTCACTTCATCATTTCCTCTGAAGCAGAAGCTCAATCAAATCTTAATCAGCTCAGTTTTTGAAGCCCCACAATATCATATGAATGACAAGATTTCATTTTTATGTGGAGCAGGGACCATTCCACTATTTTGCATTTTATAGTACATAACTTCCTTATTAATCAGATTTTTATAGACTAGCTGTTAAGCTACTTGATACACTAGTTTCTTTATATATATTATATTTCTGTAGTTTTTGGCTCTAACACTAAAAGAGGCCTATTCACCCCCACCCAACACATTTATATATCTTTAGGTATTTTTATGCCTCATCTTCCACATGTTATACTCAGAAATATCCATTATTTTATACTCTTTACAATTAATTTAATATCATATATGGTCAGGACCAATCCTTGGTCCCAGCAGCTAGAAGGTTTGATGAGGCAAGAGCCCTGTAAATAGGTTAAGTGGATCACACAAAAACTCCACAGAATCACAATGGGGAAAAATACCACATTTACTATGCTTTCAAATATACTTAGGCAGATATAATTTCACTACTCTGGTATCCCAGAGGTCCAGAATTGTTTTCAAACTTAGAATTCTTGTGTGGAAATCCTCTAAAAGAAGTAATGCTGAGCTGAAAACTGCTTTGGAAGATTCCCAAAGTTTTCCACCGTGAAAGAGCTTTTAGTTTTTCTGTGTTCTTCTGAGTAATTCTACGATATTCCACTTATATTTTTTGTCTTTGTTATTGGACAAAACTACTGCTGGCATTACTGTTTTCTGGTACACATTGTTCTATCACCCTGGAGCTGAATGTTTACACTTTTACAATTGTAAACACCTAATGTGAGAAGTTACCACACGATTTATTTCCTTGGATTTAAGTCAAATCTGGGAGGTTGCAAACTGCTGAAAGGAGAATCATGTAATGAAGGACATTTGCTTGCCTGTTGGCCATGTCACAGCAAAATAAGTGTAAGAACATAATATTCTACCTAGTAAATGTCACTGAAAGTCTCACCTTTGAAAAAAATCGAAGGAAAATAGTCTTTGACTAAACTAAATAAGGTCTGGCAAGAAATATATTTAGAGAGGCAATTTTAGCTTGGGAGGACTTTCAACATTTCAGCTTATTTTCTTTTGAGAGCTGGAAATCAGAATTTCATTTTTTGCTAGTGTGTTCACAGAAAAAAAATGACAATAAAGCTTATCTTACATTATTATTAGTGGGGCACACATATACTACACTTTGCAGGATTGGCTCATTAAACAAGCTGGTTGCTACACCCAAAGATGATTGAAACCTCAATAACCCTCAGTAATTTTTGTGCGTGTTGGTGGAGCCCTTCTGGTTTCCTGCAAGGAAGCCTGATATAATCTGTTCAGATGAGCATTCTTCTTACCTTCACAGCCCAAATGGACTGGTCCAAAGGATGGAAAAGTTTGAAACAGAAGCCATCTTTTTTTGACGGTCTCTCGATGAGCTCACAGGAATGAAGCAAAATGGTGCCCACCCACTGTCCAGTCTTTGGAGTTTTATAGATTAGGAGTACTCCAGGTTTCAGTACACACCACAATTTAGTCCAGCTCTTCAGAGTGCCACGTATCTAGAGAACAAGAAGAAATACAGTAATCTAAACCAATAAAACAGGTTTTTAATGGTGCAGAACAAGACCTTCATTCTAAATTCAGTTATTCCAAGTGAATAACTTCCAAGGTTCAACAACCTTAAATATTTTTGTGATTTAAATCAAACTTTCAGTTAAACTTTCTAAGAAGAAATTGGACCTATTATCTCTTAAAAAGCTAATAAAGAAATTTTCCCTTTGCTCTTAGATTCAAGTGTTTACCCTCAACCCCAAATCAGTCACATTTAAACAAGAAGTGCTCCCTTGAATTCCTACAGTCTCTCACCACTGGCCTAAATGAATGTGTGTATCTGTGCTTTTGAGTTATTCTTGGCTCCTGGGCATTGCCTGGCCAAATCCATGCAATTTTCTTGAAAGTTTATTCAGAAGTGATTTGACACTGCTTGCTTGCTAGGGCTGAGAGATAGTGACTGGCTCAAGGTCACCCAGCTGGGTTTGTGCCTAGGATGGGACTAGAATTCAGTCTCCAAGTTTCTAACTTGGTGCCTTAACACTATACCAAACTGGCGGTCAGGTAGATATTACTGTTGGCTATTTTTGTTATTTATGGTGTGTGTGTACGGTAGAACTGTAAACTGCTCAAAGTTGACTAATGATTGGAATGGCATATAGGCACAACCAAACAAATTGTGTTTTTTTAAAGGAAAAGATGGGAATAAGCTATACAAAAGGAAAGACAATCTTCGTTAAACAATTCAAGTATGCTACCAGTCCCACTGATAATATTTTTCCTTCTTTTAAACTGTGCTTCATCTCCTGTTTTGCCACAAAGAAACCTTGGATATGACCTCTATCTTGACTGTGACTTCAAAAAAAAAAAGCTTGTTTCCCAAGAGGGCTGGTTTTAAAACAGTAAATAAATTCTGGGTAGAAAGCGGTGGGTGAACTATAATGTACAATTCTAAAAACTCCTCAGTTACATATTTTTAAAATGACATTTTGCATCAAATTACCTTCAACCAATCTGCCATAATGACCACTCGGGGATCTTTCAAAGCACTAAAGAGCTGCTTAGTGGCTTTTTTCTTCTCCTGCCTGTAGTTTTTTTTCTGGACCTATTATATCATAGAGATAAAATATCAGTCAGGAACACATTTTTTCTCTCTTTCTACTACTGGCAAAAAGGGAGAAAAAGCAAAGAAGATAGGCTATGTCCCCCATTTAAATGGCATTCCTCTGCCTCCAGAAGCAACTTGCTGAAAATTTTTTGCAGCGTTAAATACAACAGCAACTGGGTTCCATCATACCCCCCCTTCTCTTTGTCTGTAAAATGTTTTTATTTTCGTATTCGATTCATTACAGTTTTATAGCTACTCCAACCAAGGGCAACTTATTGGGAGGTCTTATTTTCAGGGAAACAGGGTACAAATGGAGTATCAATGAAGAAGTAATATTGGTAGCAAATCCGTTCTCCCAAATGGACTTCTTTTATTTTGCTGAAATTTAGCAAAAACAGCTTAGTGGTCACATGACTATAACTGTGGCTTGGTGGTGGCAAGAACGTTCAGATATAGTGAAACTACAAATCCCAGTAACCTAGCAGTGGGGCCAAAGATTAGGGATGCTAGAAGTTATAGCTTTAACATTTACAAGAGATTTTGAGTTCAATTCCTGAAATTTCACACTCAGATAATACGGATAGAAAAAGCACTTTCTTAAAATCATTTAAAGACTGGAAAAACTGGATTAATTAATCTAGTGAACAAGGCAATCTATTTTAACTCATTTTGGGGATATATAGCAAAGTCTAAAACATGCAGAATCCAAACTGGAATCAAATAAATAAAAAAAAATCACAATTATGAAAATTTGAGAATAAATGCAAGGCTATTTTAGATATTAGTGGACATTCGCTGACAAGGCTATTTTGCATACTGTTTTGAGCAATCCTGCCTGTCTATCTATCCATCTATCATCTGTCAATCAATGTGGAACAAAGGATGCAGCTTAATCTTCTTCCATCTACCTTTAATGTTTCCTTTTTGTTGTTTATTCCAGTAGGAGATACACACTCCTTATCAGACCCGTTGCAAAGTTTGTGCTCAGTCTATCAAAAGAAGGAAAAAGAAAAGACAGGAATTAGATAAATATGAAATCGTTTTAGAAAAGAGCTTTTTTATGATGGTAGGAACATTTGTTACTGAAACACAGAGAGAATATGGGCACTCTGAAATGGCTACCATGGGAAAGAGCTTCCGATTTAGAAAACATTAACTATAGATGGATGTGGATGTCACAAAAACCTCATTTACCAGATGTTAAATGGGTAAATTTATTCCCTTCCACAACTGTCATCCTGTCCCTCAATGCATGCTGCTGCTGCTGATTACTGATGATTTAATACATTAACTTATAACCAGTCACTTGTGACCGGTCAAAACGGAGCCCCCAAAAGCTACTTATGACCCAGTTCTGAAGTTACAACGCCACCCTCAAAATCATGTGACCATGTTTACCACTGTTATGATTTATGACTATAATTGCCAGCTCAATTACAGTTGTAACTCAACTCATCTTTCCACCACGGGGAGAGGAATGAGCACTACAACAATAAAACCCAGATTTTTAGAAATGTCAGGAAAAAATATTCAAAACATAATTTGCATATTATATGTATGTATAGACAAATTATTACAATACAGTTTTTAAGGAACAAATTGTAACCACATGAGATTATATTGTCCACTCTTTCTATTGCACTGAACGAGACTGTATATATTTTCATCAAGTCTATCTTTGGTATCAGGAACACAAGTTTTTTCCAAAGGCACATAAGAATCTCTTTTGCAATGCTCAAGGAGTGACGTAGTCACACTTTTTATAAATAGATTCCAATTTGTTAACAACACATTAATATTTTTAGGTCTTATTACTAAAAACTGATTCAAAGTATGAAGAATATTCAACCAACCAATACAGAAACACCACAAATATAACCAAAATATGTGTGTTAGCATGCCATAATAGTACATATCTCCAATATAATAGGGCAGACATCTAATTTTTGGGGGGACAATTGCCCTCAAGTTAAATATCCAAAATATCACAGGTGGTCCTTATAAAATTACAATTGAACCTAAAATTAATATTGTTAAGTGAGACATTTGTTAACTGAGATTTGCTCCATTTTATGACCTTTCTTATCATAGTTGTTAAGTGAATCACTGCAGTTAACATGGTTAAGTGAATCTCCCCCATTGATTTTGCTTGTCAAAAGATCATCACATGACATTGGAACGCAGCAGTGGTCGTAAGTATGAACCAATTGCCAGGTATCTAAATTTTGATCACATGATCATGGGGCTGGTACATAGGTCATAATTGTGAAAAATTTTCCAAGTTCCTTTTTTTCAGTGCTGCTGCAACTTTGAATGTTCATTAAGAGCACTGTTGTAAGTCAAGGACTACCTATATTTTGATGAATAACCTCATCTTAAGGTTATAATAATTCTATTTAACATCCCTTCTCAATAGTATCTCATTTTTATCTTTGACATAGGGGGAGAAGGAAACAAGATTTCCAAACAAAACATTGGACTATAGCCATCTACTATTTTTTATTTTCTAATCATGCCTCTGAAATCTGCAAGTGACCTGCTGGAAACTGGCCTGTTTAAAGCTATTATGGATTGACATTACATTTGAAAGTCATCTTTAGAAATGAATGGAAATAAAAACATTTACTTTTAGATAGAAGTAGTTTTATGGAAAGAAAATCCAGGCCAAAGATTTACACACACAACATACACATAACAAAGATAACCATGGTTTGATAACCACAAATGTTCCTATAATGTTTGGACTCTAAAAACCAGGACTCAGGGAAGAGATGATAAACATTTTGTTCTTAAAATATTACTTGCCTAGATTCTCTATTAACAGAATAAGTTGCCAACAACATCTGACTTGGCTTGATAGCAGATATTAGGGCCAATGCAGTGCACAGACAGACGTTAACTCATAAATATAAACAAATATCAATATTCATGCTGAGCTGCAGTTGTTGTTATTTGCATTCTGTTCCCACAATTCACTGAGGAAAGAGGCACAACTGCAAGGTCATTTTGTTCCAGATTGTCTAGCTTTGCTCTCCTCTCCAACAATGCTGGTAAAGAAGATGAACAACTACAGTAATCAATATACCATATTTTTCGGAGTATAAGACACACTCCCCCCCCCCTTAAAAGTGGGTGAGAATTTGGGTGTGTCTTATACACCGAATGTAGTCCCACCCTACCCACCAGCCCCCACCCGTTGGCCTCTGCCTCCCAGAAATTTGCCTACTTGCAGCAAACAGCCTGTTTCAGTTTCAGTTTCAGTACAGCCTGATTAGCACAAGCAGCTGATTGTCAGTTGGATCGGCCTCCCGACCATCAGCTGTTTCTGGCTGTTTCAGGGATTGCCATTGCTGCCTCCGTGGATCCCATTTTCAGCCTCCATGCGCCCTTGTGTCTATTAGAAAAGTGGATAAGAGGCAAAAAACATTCTCAGGCTGAGGGCACCACTAAAATTGGCCTTTGAATAATATCGTGGGATTGCCTTCCCCCCTTGGCAGCGTAGTGGTTAGAATGCAGTATTGCAGGNCATCAAAGATAAGGAATGGAAGAACTGTTCTCTACATAACGTCTGGAACACTTCAGATTACTCATTTTTAATTCCAAGCAAATTCCACTTAGATCAATAGTACTTATACCTAGGTTAGAAATCTATAATAGCTTATTGTACTTGATTGTTCATGCATTTAACAGATAAATTCATTCTAACCATTGCCTACACAGAAATGACTTCAAGCCCTTATTTACTTTATTTTTAAAATGTCAGTATCATTCTTCCCCTGCCACATTCCTTTAAAAAAATCATATCAAGAAATCATTGAATGTTTCCTACACTCAGCTCCTATATTATATCTAGGGAAAGAGAAAAATCACAAGGAAAGCTGTCAGATCTTATTAATGTCAGCAGTAGCATTACAAGCCACTGTACTGTTGAGGGATGAACTTTGCAACTCTTGTTCAAATTATCTCTTATGTTACCATAGAGATATCTTTAGTTTCTTTCATAAAACCATCCAGTAAAAGACAGCACACACACACACACACACCTGCCTGGCCTTTGCTGGGGGAGGAGGATATACAATGCACTCATTCTCTGCCAGAAATGTCATTAAGTCATTAAAAAGTAGGTCAGAAAATATACAGCTTCAGCAATTCAAACCGTTTCCCCAGCAAGTCTTCTATATTACCATATTTGGTGCCTCACCATTCCATCCACAAACTACAAAATCAAGCTCTTCATTTGATTAGGTTTTATGGAGTATGGAAAACAACAAATCCTTGAATTTGGACTAATAAGGCTTGGCTCAAACTATCCCACCTTCACACAGCTTTAGGTAAATCACAAGCTATGTGTACACAATGTCCTTTGCTTATGTAAACTTTGCCAATGTGCTTTGCAAACTATAATTCATAGTTTAGCATGTGGAACAGAGGTGGTATTCAGCCAGTTCTGATAGGTTCTGTAGAACCGCTAGTGGAAATTTTGAGAGTGGGGAGGGAATGAGGATTTTGCAGTATCCTTCCCCTGCCAGTCCCACAAAGCCACGCCCACAGAACCAGTAGTAAAAAATTTGAATCCCACCACTGATGTGGAAGTCTACAAACTGTGGTTTACTCAATATTGATAGCACAATTTGAGTACTACCCAAATTAGCCTCTTACAAATTAGCTATCCAAATTAGCCTCTTACAATCACTATCCAAATTAGCCTCTTACAAAATCGCATGACAGGTTAAAGTATTTTACTATATATCATGACAGCTTGGTTTTGGGGTGTGGTGGAATTGTTTTTAATTGTATGCTGCCCTGAATTGTTTTGCAAAGGTGTCTATATATGGCAAATAAATCATTCCATCAATCCATATAAAAATATAAAATTTTCCTTAAAGGAAAACAGGAGTAAAAATGTAAGTAAGAGTTGACTGGATCTGCAGGAAGAGTATAAAATATAATTTTATATTTTATATAAAATATAATTTTGTTCATGTACATAATTTATAAACTATGGGGAAAAGCCTATACTTTGAATTGGAAGAATTAAAGCTGAATAGGAAAAACTACATTTGCCTGCATGTCATTCAGGCAAATTCTCTTCTGCATGACAGAAGAGCAGGAGGATCTCTAATCAAAAAGAACCCTTGGCGGGAGCCAAAGAGTGTATTTTTCTCCAAGCCCAGCTCTACGAACTGCTGCAAAACAATCATTTAGACCAGATGTGCAGACTTCAGCTCCCAGAATGCATGCATGGCTAGGGAAACCTGGGAATTGCATCTCAAAGTTGCTGAGCTTGAAAAACGCCTTGGGCAAACTCTTTCCCGCTAAGAGTTTTAAGTAGAAGAATAGCTATCTAATAGTGTTGCTTAGTTTCTGGATTCCTATAGAAAGCAGGTAAATTCTACATTCAGTTCCCTTTGGATGTTCACATCCCTTTGGATGTGAAAAAACAAGAGTGCCCTTCCCAGCATCCCTTGCTCTGTACATGAATGGGATGAACAGAGGAATAACAAATATGAGTTTGTGACTAGGTTGGCCCTTCCAATTTCCTTTAAAAATAAAACACTTTTCAAAACAAAAAGCAATTCACGCAAGATATGCTACTAAAATGAACCAAATGAGTTTAAAAATGATTTGTATTATCAGTGAAATGATATAATTAGAATAGCAATAGCAATAGCAGTTAGACTTATATACCGCTTCATAGGGCTTTCAGCCCTCGCTAAGCGGTTTACAGAGTCAGCATATTGCCCCCAACAACAATCCGGGTCCTCATTTTATCCACCTCGGAAGGATGGAAGGCTGAGTCAACCCTGAGCCAGTGAGATTTGAACAGCCGAACTGCAGAANTTTGGCAGCGTTTCAAGGAAGATAAAGGTGGGTGCTTATCAGCCTTATCCCAAAAGACTTTGGCAGCCCACTGTCGGACTCTTTACAAACTATTTGGGACTCATTACGGGCTGTGAACGAACATAATTCAAAGGCTTTGAAATAAAAA